CTACTAAAATGCAAAAACTAGCCGGCGAGGTGGCGGGAACCTGTAGTCCCAGGGCTCACTGCAGCCTCCATCTCCTGGGCTCAAGAGATCCTCCTGGTTAGCCTCTGGAATATCTGGGACTACAGGTGTGTGCCACCACACTGAGCTAATTGTTAAGTGATCCACCCGCCTCGGCCTCCCAAAGTGCTGGGATTACAGGCTTGAGCCACCGCGCCCGGCCTAATTTTTTGTATTTTTAGTAGAGACGGGGTTTCTCCATGTTGGTCAGGCTGGTCTCGAACTCCCGACCTCAGGCGATCGGCCCGCCTTGGCCTCCCAAAGGGTTGGGATTACAGGCGTGAGCCACTGCGCCCGGCCAGTTTACTTTCTTAATAAGCCCTTGCCATGTAGAATCTGGCTTTACCTAAATCTTTGCAAACCGTGAGGTGCATCTTGAAAGCAGCAGTTAGGGTCAAACAGGTAGGGTCCAGGATCATCTGAAACAGTCTTAGATAATGAGGTTGGGGGATATGTGTTTTTTTAATATACCTATCCTCGTAGAATCTCCTTTGCTTGCAGTGATGTGAAATGGAGTTAAGGAAAGCAAAGCAAGAGAATGTGGCTGAGTTAGCTGGGGTTCTGCATGCCCTGAGTTTTCCTTTATTATTTTTTGTGTGTGTGTGTGAGACGGAGTTCTGCTCTGTCTCCCAGGATGGAATACAGTGGCCTGATCTCCGCTCACTGCAAGCTCCTTCTGGGTTCACACCATTCTCCTGCCTCAGCCTCCAGAGCATGGTGAAAACCCCCGTCTCTACTAAAAAATGCAAAAAACTAAAGCCGGGCAAGGTTGGCGGGCACCTGTAGTCGCCAGCTACATCGGAGAGTGCCTGAGGGCAGGAGAATGTCGTAACGCGCATGAGGTGGCAGCTTGCAGTGCAGGCTGTGTGCCATGCCGCTGCAACTCCAGCCTGGGCGACAGACGCGAGACCTCGTCTCCAAAAAAAAAAAAAAAAAAAAAAGATAAACCAGGGCACAGTGGTTCAAGAGTTCAAAGACTCCTTAAACCCAAGGAGTTCAAGGTTTGTCAATTATGTTTGCATCAACCTGCACACCAGCGCCTAAGTGACACAGCGAGAGCCTCTCTCTTAAAAAAAAAAAAAAAAAAAAAAAAAAAAAAGGCCAGGCGCGATGGCCTGCATGCCTGTAATCCCGGCCACTGTTGGGAGCCGCGAGTGGGGCGCATCACGAG